TCTCTCTCTCTCTCTCTCTCTCTCTCTCTCTCTCTCTCTTTTCAACCTTCCCCACCTCCCATTCACGACACTTGTTTCTATTATGCGCAATAGAAACGAAACGAAACGAAACGTGAAATTCGATGGAGTTTCCTGGCCAGTGAGGGATGAGGTGAGAAGAGGCTGGCAAGAGGTCACGGAAAATTGTCAATCAATGCGACCCATCTAGGCTTGATTACAACTTCACCATCGTGTTCCTAGTTTGTTTGAGCTCCGAGGATCGGTTGACCGAATTTTTCTACTGGACTCGTGAAATTTGGTTATCTTCGTACCCCCGAATATAAATATTCGCGGTTTTAGCTTTCTACCTTGTGTGCCAAGAAAATTTTTCCCTTCGTTTTGCATCACTATTCCATGTTATAAAATATTTTTACTCTTCGTATTCGGATGAATCTCTTTAGAAGATACATATATAACCTCGAATAAAAAAATAAAAAATAAAAAAAACATCTACATTTGTTCATAAAATATTAAAATTTTATCGATCTATACGTCCTTCCAAACTTTTGACTTTACTCATACCTTTCGTTTCCTTTTCAAATATTATTTTCATATATATAGTAAGATATCTATGTCCGATAATAGTTCACTTTTGTATGTAGAGAGAAAAAGAAGAGTTTATGTCAAAGAACTTTCAATTTGATAAATTTAACTTCAATTACGTAGAGAAATAAAAAAAAAAAAAATATCATGTGTGCAGATCACAAGTGTTAGAAATAAAACCTTCTTAAAATCCAAGCTTCGAGAGAATGAGTCAAATGCAGAGTATCAGAAATAAGATAATTGTAGGGTTTATTTATTATAAAAAAAAAAACAGCTTGGATTGTCGTTAGCTTTTTTTTCAAATTACCCCCATTCTAAAGAAGTTTTCACTTAATAAAAGAATTTCATTCTAAAAGGATACCATTTAATTTTCTTCAACTTGTCACAAAGAACTCCTACGTTGTATATAAATTTAGAAAAAGAAGAAAAAGATGAAGTAGATGAAGAAGAAGAAGGAAACTGTCAACCTGAATCGTTTTAATCATGGTAGATTGATCCTTTTGTGACAACGATCGAAAAAAAAGAATGAAAAAAAGAAAGAGAGAGAGAC